ACAGAGAGGAACTACAAAAAGAGCTGGAAAATAATTAACAAACTAGTAATATGTACATACCTATCAATAATTACTTTAAATGTAAGTGGACTAGGAGCTGGTCCGGTGGTGCAAGCAGTTAAGTCCACATGCTCCGCTGCGGTGGCCCGGGGTTCCCCGGTTCGGATCCCAGACACGCACCAACGCACCACTTGGCAAGCCATGCTGTGGAGGCATCCCATATAAAGCAGAGGAAGCTGAGCATGGATGTTAGCCCAGGGCTAGTCTTCCTCACCAAAAAGAGGAGGATTGGCAGATGTTAGCTCAGGGCCGATCTTCCTCCCCCCCCCAAAAAAATGTAAGTGGACTAAATTCACCCATCAAAAGACACAAAGTGGCTGAATGGATAAAAAAAAAAGAAACATCTATATGCTGCCTATAAGAGACTCACTTCAGAAGTAAGGACACACACAGACTGAAAGTGAAGGAATGGAAAAAGATATTCTATGCAAATGGAAACAAAAAGAAAGCTGGAGTAGCAGTACTCATATCAGACATAATAGACTTTAAAACAAAGACTGTAATAAAAGACAAAGAAGGGCACTACATAATGATAAAGTGATCAATCCAGCAAGAAGATATAATATTTATGAGTATATATGCACCCAACATAGGAGCGCCAAAATATATAAAATAAATATTAACCGACCTAAAAGGAGAAACTGAAAGCAATACAATAATAGTAGGAAACTTTAACATCCCACTTACAGCAATGGATAGATCATCCAGACAGAAAATCAGTAAGGAAATATCGGACTTAAATGACACATTAGACCAGATGAACTTAGTAATATGTATAGAATATTGCACCCCCAAACAGCAGAATACACATTCTTTTCAAGTGCACATGGAACATTCTCCAAAATAGACCACATGATAGGCCACAAAAAAATCTCAATAAATTTAAGAAGATTGAAATCATTTGATATGATGCATCGTTCCTGACCACAATGGTATGAAACTAGAAATCACTTACAAGAACACTGGAAAAAAACCAGTTATGTGTAGATAAAACAATGTGCTGTTAAACAACCAATGGGTCAACAAAGGAATCAAAGAGGAAAAAAAAATACCTTGAGACAACTGAAAATGGAAACAAAGTGTTGCAAAATCTATGGGATGCAGCAAAAGCGGTTCTAAGAGGGAAATTCATAGTAGTACAGGCCTCCCTAAAAAAACAAGAAAAAAATAAACAGTCTAACTTTACCCCTAAGAGAACTAGGAAAAGAAGAACTTTTCAATAGAAAAGACCAGTGAAACTAACAGCTGGTTCCTTGAAAAGACAAACAAAATTGATAAACCTTTACGCAGACTCATCAAAAAAAAGAGAGTCCAAATAAATAAAATCAGAAATGAAGAGGAGAAGTTACAACTGGTACCACAGAAATACAAGGAATCATAAGAGACTGCTATGAACCACCAAATTAGACAACCCAGAATAAATGGATAAATTCCTACAAACATACGGTTTTCAAAAACTGAATCAGGAAGAAATAGAAAATCTGAATTGACTCATTACAGCAATGAAATTGAATTAGTAGTCAAAAAACTCCCAACAAACAAAAGTCCAGGACCAGATGGCTTCACAGGTACATTCCAGCAAACATTTAAAGAAGAGTTAATCCCTATCCTTCTCAAATTATTCCCGAAACAATTGAAGAGGAAGGAAATCTTCCGACCTCATTTTACTAGGCCAGCATTACCCTGATACCAAAACAAGACAAAGACTTGACAAAAAAAGAACATTACAGGCCAATATCCCTGTTGAACATAGATGCAAAAAATCCTAGGCAAAATATTAGCAAACCAAATCCAACAATACATTGAAAGGATCATACACCATGATCAAGTAGGATTCATTCCAGGGATGCAAGGATGGTTCAAGATCTGCAAATCACTCACTGTGATACACCACATTAATAAAACAAAAGATAAGAATTTTCTGATGATCTCAATAGATGCAAAAAAGCATTTGACAAAATCCAACATTCATTTATAATAAAAACTCTCAACAAAGTGGTTATAGTGGGAATGTACCTCAACGTAATAAAGGCCGTATATGACAAACTCATAGCTAACATACTCAACGGTGAAAAGCTGAAAGCTTTTCCTCTAAGATCAGAAGCAAGACAAGGATGCTCACTCTCGCGACTTTTATTCAACATAGTATTGGAAGTCCTAGCCCCAGCATTTAGGCGATAAAAAGAAATAAAAGGCATCCAAATTGGAAAGGAAGAAATAAAACTGTCTTTATTTGCAGATGACGTGATACTATATTTAGAAAACCCTAAAGACTGCACCAAAAAAACTATTAGAAATAAAAAATGAATTCAGTAGAGTTTCAGGGTACAAAATTAATATATAGAAATCTGCATTTCTATACACTAATAATGAACTATCAGAAAGAGAAATTAAGAAAACAGTCCCATTTACAATTACATAAAAAAATAAAATACCTACGAATAAAGCTAACTGAGGAGGTGAAAGACCTGTAGTCTGAAAACTATAAGACATTGATGAAAGAAATTGAAGATGAAAAAAAATGGAAAAATAAACCAGGCTCATAGATTGGAAGAATTAATATTGTTAAAATGTCCATATTACCCAAAGCAATCTACAGACTCAATACAGTCACATCAAAATACCAATGGCATTTTTCACAGGACGAGAACAAATAATCTTAAAATTTGTATGGAACCACAAAAGACCTCAAATAGCCAAAGCAATCTTGAGAAGGAAGAACAAAGCTGGAGGTATCACACTCCTTGATTTCAAACTGTACTACAAAGCTATAGTAATCAAAACAGTATGGTACTGGCATAAAAACAGACATGTAGATCATTAGAACAAAATAGAGAGCCCAGAAAAACACCCATGTTTATTGTTCAATTAATCTATGACAAAGTAAGCCAGAATATACAATGGGAAAATGACAATCTCTTCAGTGAATGGTTTTGGGAAAACTGGACAGCTACATGCAAAAGCATGAAACTGAACCACTTTCTTACACCATATACAAAAACAAACTCAAAAGACTTAAAAGTAAGACCTGAAACCATAAAACTCCTAGAAGAAAACCTAGGCAGTAGAGTCTTTGACATGGGTCTTAGCAGTATTTTGGGGGCTATATCTCCTTAGGCAAGGGCAACTAAAGCAAAATAAACAAATGGGATGACATCAAACTAAAAAACTTTTGCACAGCGAAGGAAACCATCAACAAAAGGAAAAGGCAACCTACTGAATAGGAGAAGATATTTGCAAATAATATATCTGATAAGGGGTTGATATCCAAAATATATAAAGAGCTCATACAACTCAGTATCAAAAAAAACAAACAACCCAATTAAAAAATGGACAGAGGATCTGAATAGTCATTTTTCCAAAGAAGATATACAGATGGCCAATAGACACATGAAAAGATGTTTAACATCACTAATTATTAGGGAAATACTAATTAAAACCACAATGAGATATCACCTCACACCTGTTAGAATGGCTGTTATCAAAAAGACAGGAAATAACCAGTGTTGGAGAGAATGTAGAGAAAAGGGAACCCTTGTATACTGTTGGTGGGAATGTAAACTGGTGTAGCCACTATGGAAAACAGTATGGAGGTTCCTCAAAAAATTAAAAATAAAACTACCATATGATCCAGCAATTCCATTCCTGGGTGTATATCTGAAGAAAATGAAAACACTAATTCAAAAAGATATGTGCACCCCTACGTTCATTGCAGCATTATTTACAGTATCCAAGATATAGAAGCAACCTAAGTGTCCATCAACAGATGAATAGATAAAGAAATTGTTATATATACACACACACACACACACAAACAATGGAATATTATTCAGCCATACAAAAAAATGAAATCTTTCAATAAGTGACAACCTGGATGGACCTAGAGAGTATTATGCTAAGTGAAATAAGTCAGAGAAAGACATACTGTATGATTTCACTTATATGTGAAATCTAAAAAACAAAACAAATGAATAAACAAAACAAAACAAAACAGACTCAGATACAGAGAACAACATGGTGGTTACCAGGGGTGAGGAAAGAGGGAGGATGGGTGAAATAGGTGAAGGGGAGTAAAAGGTACAAACTTTCAGTAGTAAAAGAAATAAGTCACGGGGATGTAGTGTATAGCATAGAGAATATAGTAAATAATATTGTAATAGCTTTGTGTGGTGACAGATGCTGACTAGACATATCATGATGATCATTTCGTAGTGTCTAAAAACATCGAATCACTATGTTGTATGCCTGAAACTAATATATTGTATGTCAATTATACTTCAATGAAAAAAAAGAAATTGTAAGGAAAATGGATAGTTTGAAGGTATATTTTGGTCATAAACAATAGGACTCGGATGGATTAGATATGAGTTTGAAGGAAATGGAAGAATCAAGAATGACATATGGGCAGCTGTAGGCCCTATGTAATCATGCACAGCATGTAAGGTCTGGAGTGCAAAGGAGAGGTCTGGGATATAGATAAACCTTTTGGAGTCATTATCATTTAGAAATAAAGGAACTGAGAAGATCATATATGTAGGAAGAGATGTATCGAGAGGGGAGGACTCAGGACTGAGTCCTGCAGAGCCCCCATATTAGTAGTAGAATTGAGGAGCAGGAGCCAGTAAAGGAGAGGTAGGAGAAAGGACACATGATAAAGAAAGATGACTGGCAGTATGTGCTGTCAGTGAAGCCAGGAGCAGCCAATGATGCTACTGCAAGGGCAAGTTACTTGAGGACATGTAGTGTCCAGTAGACTGGACAACATGGGTTTCACTGGTGACCTTAATAAGAGCATCTTTGGGGGGATGGCAAGAACCATATAGGAATCAGTGGAAAAAAATAAGAGAGAATTGCTGCTTGTATAGCTTATAAAATTTTTTGTAACTGGCCCACTGGTTAATTATTTAAGCTATGATTAACATTGTCTATTTTGGTTTCAGGGAAGATATCAACCCTGCACTGCAAAGCAGAGAGTATTAGGCAACGGTGTGTAACATTTCTTCATTATGTTAAAGTTTTCATCTTCAGGTAGGATGTCAGATGAGTATTTTGATTACTGCATGAATTTCTGGGTGCGTATTCATCCAGACTCTGGTTGTTTATTGTATCTAATTGTTTTTTAGGTACCTGAAAGTACAGAATGCCGAAAGTCATGTTCCTGTCCATCCTTACGAGGCTTTGGAGGCTCAGCTTCCCTCCGTGCTGGTCGATGAGCTTCAAGGATTACTCTTGTATATTGGACATCTATCTGAACTTCCCAGTATTAATCTAGGAGTATTTGTAAATCAAAACCAGATTAAGGTTTGACTTATTTCATTTAACTTTTAAATTATCAGTTTTTTCTCCACACAGGAATATTTATTCAAGAATGAGGGAAATTATTCAAAAATGCTCTGAAACCAGACTACTTGAGTTGAAATTCTGGCTCCTCCTTTCATTAATTATGTGCCGTTGGGCAGGTAACAGCTCTTGCCTCAGTCTCCCCATCTGTATAACTGGTATAGCTTCCTGGAGTTATTGGGAGAATTAATAAGTTAAAATGCATAAGTGCCTAGAACATAGTATATACTGAATCAATGATATAGCTATTCTGTATTCTAGTTTATAACAGTGCAAATGTTTAAAAGTTTCAAAGCAAATAAAGTAACCTTTATTTTCTAAAATTTGTATCATCTTTCCCATTGATAAAGGGTTGGGCAAACCCTGGTTTATATTATAGTAAGATTTAAGAAGATCACCTTATAAAAGTTACACTTTTAAAACCACATCATTATGTCTGTTCTGACTTTTGAGACCTTTTCGGAATATGATTAAGATTGTTTTGACTATGCTCTTTTTTTCAACCGGTGATAATCATTCCCTCTGAAATTTGGTTTTTAAAAATTCGTGTTGTTAGCATGACCCAGCTTATGGATAATTAACAATTTCTTCATAAGGAAATGTGAGCTTCTGTGAATGACAAATTATAATTCCTCATTCCCTGGACTCTCAACCTCTTCCATTCTATTTGATTTCACCAATTTGACAACATTCAGTTTTTAGAATTATGTCTTTGCCAAAATGTAAAGTACAATCAAATGTTTATATATTTCTGTGAAATTTAACAACAAAAAAATTGACTCCTCTTATCAGGGATCAATATATGTAAAAATAAAAGTAAATAGAGTTCCAACTGAATTCACAGGTTAATATGTCTAATCCATAGAAAGCAAATAAATAATTAATTAATTATGTCATTTAATAAAGATTCATGGGTAGGTTGTGGGGGAAGTGTTGTTTTTCCAAACATCTCTATAAATTGGACTGGTTTTTATTTTCTGTATATCCATCAAGTACTTAAAATAAAAATTAATTTATCTAGCAGAAGAAATAAAGAATGTGTTCAAGGGTTCTTAAACTAGGTTTTGCCTTTCATAGACTTTTTAATTAGGCATACTTGAAAAGATAGGTAATTTGAAGATCAGAAGACTGAATTTTTAAAAGCAGGGGAATGTAGTCTTAAACATAAAAGAATCATACACTAAAGTACTGTTCTTTTCTGAAACAACAGCAAAAACTTACAAAATAAAAAGCATCTCAAGACTTTGTATATTTCTGTTTTGCTGATCTTATATATGAAAAGTATTGATTTAATTGGTATTTTCAGTTGAGCATCTTTTTTTTTAACTTTTCTTATTAGAGATATTATTTGTTGGGTATTATACGTTACAAATATTTTCATCCATTTATCTTTTATTTTTTAGCAATTAAACTGACTTCCTAGGTAGATGGTTTAAGATTTTTATAGTTATTTTGTTAATTTTTCTCTTTGTATCATCTCTATGCTGTTGTTAAAAACATACTTGTTTTTTACATTTATCTTTTTATTTCATCTTTTTTTAAAAAATATGCTATGAAGTGGGAAATCTAACTTTAGTTTCTTGCAAATAAATAAGTTAATAATCCTGTCTTTTATTGAATGACCTATGCTTTCCCCACTGATCTGAGATATCACATTTATCCATTTCTCTCTTCCCTAATTTTACTGTTTATTTATTATCTATTCTTGAGCCAATACTCTTTCATTAGTGTAGCATTTTATTTGTTTGCATATTTGATAAAGCAAGTCCCCTCTCCTTTATTCTTCCTAAGTGTCTTAATAGAACACGTGTAACATTGTATTTGTTTTTATAGTGATACTAAATGTTGACTAGAAGAAGGTCATTGATAACACTATAGCACAGTACTTAAGAGCTTTGGCTTTTGAATTAGATAGAATTAGGTTTGAATCCTAATGTATGAATCGAGAGATAAATTTCTTCTTCACTTTTAACTTCAATCTCTTAATGGGCATGACAACAGTATCTAATGATAGTCTAAAGTTCTCCTGTTAAAATATTTTATAGGAGTTCCTGAGTACTCACATTTAAAAACGTATTTGCTAGCTAAAGTCTAAAACGGAATCATGAAAATAAGTCATTTTAAAAAATTCTTTCACTGCCTTGCAGCTGTAGTAGAATCAGAGGTTGGTTGGAAGGGATCTTTACAAGTCTATTCAGTAGCGCCAGGGTGGGGTCAGTCTTAAACCATCAGATGAAAATATATCCTGCTTTCAAAGATCTCCAGGGAAAGAATACTCTAATGAACAAGACAAAGATTTTCTCTGAGCTTTTGAATAGTGGTAGCTTAATTGGTTCTTTATCCTTGTGCTGATGGAGAAGTGTTGTGACATGCTATAAAAGACCTAGTAAAGTATTATGAATTCTCAGTCACAGTTGATCATATCATTCACAGCTTTTTCCACCGTCATGGCATTTATTACATCTCCACTTAGATATCCATTGGCTGGTGCTGGAAATTCTTCACATGCTTGGTGAAAAATTGAGTAAGTTTATGGATTTCTGATTTATGTCTTTTTTTAATCTTTTATAATTTTTTAAAATTACACAATAAGTGCTGATCTTTTTTTAAGCAAATAGTGACCAAAGTAAGAAGTCTTATTCCTCTTTTCCAGGGTTAACTACTGGAAACAGCTTAGTCCATTTATCTTTCCATACTTATTTGCTATCTATGAGTATACATATATAGAAACTCATAAGTAGGATTTCTGTTTTTGTTTCTAACCACAAATGGTATCATCATATTATCCTGTGTAGTGTTACATTTAACAGTTTTTGAGAGATCTGTTCATGTTAGTACATATAGTTCTACTTTATTCATTTAAAGGCTGTATGTTATGGATCTATCATAATTTATTTAGCCAAGTCTATTTTTTAATATTTCAGTTATTTCTGTTTTTTGAATATTACAAATACTATTTCACTGAACATCCTTATGTATATGTACATCTTTGAATACTCGTACAAGTTATTCTGTAGAATAGATTCTTAGAATTGGAGTGTCACATTGCAGTTTTAATCTTGTATACATTGCTCTGTTGCTGTACAGTAAGTTTCCCCAATTTATATACGCTATCTGTGAGTGTGCCTTTGCCTCAAACTCTTGCCAGGAGTGGATATTATCAGTTATTTCGCAGCACAAAATAATTGTACGTGGTTAGTTTATCAGTATTTGTTAAAAGAATAATGTCTTAAAAGGCTTTATTGGTTAGAAATATTGTTGAAGGTTTTCTAGTGTTTCTCCTTTTATTTTTTTCTCTTAAATAATGTTGCAATGTTGCTTTACAAAGATGACCACTTAAGAAAAGAGATATTGCAATTACATGGAAGGCTTGAAAACTTCTTTTAGGTAATATTTATCACTGCTCATGTAAGAAAGGAATTGTCCTCAAATTTTACTTTTATTTGCAAAAAAATTTGCTTTTAACTATATATGTTGCAGTTTTGTTATAAGTTAATCTAAAGGTGTACAGTCACTTTTCCTCCTGAATTAGTAAAACCTAATGTAGTTTTAAATAGAATTTATTTTATTACATTTTTAGAACAAGTTGTATATGGTCATCAGTTTATGAATCTGGCAGGTGACAACTTAACCAATGTCAGCCTATTTGAAGAACATTGTGAAAATCTCCTTTGTGATTTAATAAGCCTGTCACTCAACAGGTATGATAAGGTAATGCTTTAAGAGTTTATTTATATTTTTGCTACTTAATGGCAGTAGTCAGTCCTTAATGCATGTGGTTTAATCTATAAGAATTTAATCTAAAGTGGTTTACTTGTTAATTCTCCTATTTTATATTTATTATTATCTTAGAGTTAAATATGTAAAGAATTTGCTTTAAACATTTAAAACAGGCTGGAATTAGTGTTTTACAGCTTTTTTTTTTAAATAGCCTTTTCCATCTTGTTAAAAATAAATAACTAAAAACAGGATGTTTATGATAATGACTGGAAATTTAACTTGTGTTCAAATAGGAGAGGCCAGCTCTTTAATAATCTACTGTATTGTTGTTACATAATAAAATAAATGAGTACTTAACTAAAATTAGTTGACAAATTTAAAGGGAGGTTTCGTTTGCTTGTTTTCATAAAAGCTGTAGAATCATGAGGGAAATTATATGTTTTTACTAAATTCTGTTTATCATAGAGTGTTTAATGCAGACAGTGATTTAAAGGTGCTGTAGTACACGTTCATTTTCATGCAATGGAAATTTGTAGATTAGTATCGCTAATTTCAGATTATAAACATAATAAACCTCATGGGAAATTGGGATTTATAATTTTTAAAAATTTAGATTGTGTTTTATGTATTGGTTATCAATATCTTTTAAATCTAGTCAGTATATTTACAATTAATGTAATTAGTGGGTTAACCAGATATGATGTAGTAATATCTTAACAGTTATCTTTTACTGTGTATTATGTTAGAAATGTTTATGTAATATAAGTAAAATAATGAATACATTATGAATTTCAGAAGTCTAGCTATACCTACAAATACAGTACATATTCTCTGGATTAAGGCCATTAACTATATTTGTTACAAAAATGCTTAACCTAAAATTGCTTAACCTTATAAATCTGTAATAATTGTATTTATTCTGACATAAAAATTTTTAGTCTGCTTTACAATGAATCAAAAATTTTTTTCTAATCTTTTTATTAGAAATCTTTTCATTGTAGCTGATGGATTAGATCTAAGTTAGGAAACCATGGCCCTGAGGCCAAGTCTAGCACACTGCCTGTTTATGTAAATAAAATTTTACTGGAATACCGCCCTCTCCTTTTTTTTCCTATTGTCTGTGGCTGATATTGCACAACACTGGCAGAGCGGAGTAGTTGTAACAAAGACTGTATTGCCAATAAGACCTCAAATATTTACTATTTAGCCCTTTACAGAAAAAGTTTGCTGACCATTGGACTAGATGATTAAAGCAGAGGTTTTTTTAAAAGTTGAAAATAAAATTCATTCTGTACTTTTGGTTTTAAAATGGGAATTTATTTTAAAAGTTAATGAAATGGCACATTTTTTATAAACAATTTTATTAATTGAGCATACATTTTAAGTGATCTAAATCATGCTTTTAAAACATTTGGGGGAAATATGTGGCATGTAAAATTTTGCTCTCTTATAAGTAACTCATTTTGGTTCCTTTCTACAGGTTAGGCCTTCTGAAGCATTAGTGAGTCACCATTGCCCATGTCCATGCATTAAAGAATTATGGGTTTTACTCATTCATCTTCTAGACCACAGAAATAAATGGTCTCTCTCAGAAGTAAGTTGTAAAATGGATGTATAGTTATTGTTACTAACTCTTATATTGAATTTATGCACTGGTTTTGGCCAGGAAAAATCTTACAGAGTTTTTCTTCATAATAAGACAACCACCACCACCAAACAGAGCATTAACTGAGAACTAAATACCTACTATATTTTTAACCCTAAATTGGTAATATGAAACATCTAGGAGAAGTATAAGATTTGGCTCTCTTATTTTCTCAAGTTCTTTTTTTTGTTCTCTCAAGAATCTTTTAGGCTAAAATATTTAATACCTTCTAGTAATCCAGAAAACATTTTAGTCAGGAAATGTGGCAGATTTAGATTTGGTGAGAAAGAAAACATAGGTTTCTATTAATCAGTTGTACAGTGTCTTATTTCAAGAAGGTAGGAAGAAAAACACAAAAAGGAAGATGGAAAATTTTAATTCACCTCATTTTGAGCCAAGTCTTTAGAATGGGGCTTTATTTTATTTCAAGTGTTGTGAATTAGTAGAAAAAGAGAAATATCCATAAGCAGAAGTAAGTACAAACAATTCATTGTGAAATGATACTTAAAATGTTTTATGTTATATGAAAAAGTACTTTGATTTTTCATGGGTTTTTGAAATTCCCAATTTTCCACAATTTGGGATTTGGGTGCTCCTAATTTTAATAACAACTCTTTATTTTTGCAAGTTTATAGTACTATATTTATTTTGAGTTATTATTTTAGCAATAAATTTACTAAGTATAAATTTAATGTATTTTTACTAATTTTTAAGTAAGAAAATTTTTTTTCCTGGCATTTTGGTTTGTCAGTAGAGTTTAGCTTTCTACAGTGAGATTTAAATATTACAAAGTCTCAGCAATTTTTTCCCTGATTATTTGCCAGGATGTTTTGTTTTATTGACATGGTAAACATCAATTTTTCCATATTCTGCAAAGCTTATCTTTATTATTTAAGAATTTTATATTTCTTTAGAATTGTTCTTATTTTATAAATTTCACATGTGAAAGTATAAACCACATATAGTTAATGTAGGCATGTTCATATTTTTTGCTGTTAGTCTTTTTCTAGATTTTAAGCAGAAAAGTAGGCATAATTTAAAATATTATATTGTAGAAATTTGCATAGCAATGTGTATTGTTTAACCTAAATGATCTGTATGCTCTTCGTTTTATGTAGTAACCAGACTTATTTGTCTTAAAATAATGAAATCTGAGGTCATTTCATTTTTTAAAATACAGCTCAACCTATTCACAGATTTTGAAGGCTATTTTATTTTAAAAGTCAGATTAAAATTTTCCATTCCTGACAGATAGTTTGACCTTCCTACTAAAAAAATAATCTAATCTAATCATGCTGGGTATCATATGATAAGAATTTTAAATGTGTCAGTGAGCTTGTAGAAAGTAAAAAGTACTGAGGCCAGATACTAAATGTGGGTGGAAACTCAGGTCAGCTGAACCTTGAAGCTGCCTCGTAACCTTAGAGGCAATTGCTGAGTAGTGTAAAGTTGAGCATTAGCTTTTATACAGTATAAGGTACAAGAAAAGAAGACAAAGCTCAGAGTCAAACCAAATTGGTAGCCTCCTAATATACCAACTACCCATAAATCTGGGCCCCCAAAAGGATGAACTAGAAATTCACCTAAATTTATAATGAAAATTGCCTGTGTTTAACTGTGGTGCTTTGCAGTTTAAAATTGCTTCAGTGTATTTGTTATTGCAAGCCAGCCCTCATGCAGATTTACAGCCTGAGTTCATGTTGCCTAGATTGTACTAAAAATTTCAAGCCAGTGACTTCTAAGTAGCCACAGACAATGGCTGCATGGATACCTAAACCCACATCTTCCCTCGTAACCTCCCCCAAAGTGTAGAACAGCAAGAACAAATAAAACGACACAAAAAACATGTTGGTAGCATAACTGCAAGACAGGAATGTTCAAAGCTGTACATTAAAAGTGAAAACCACCAAAGCTCTACAAAACTTTCTAGCAAGCAAGGGTAGTGTAAGAAAAACTGCTCAGAGGAGAGAAGGAGAGAGCTAGCAGTAGTCATAAAATTGGTCTAAAACCATTGCCAGAATATGAAAATACTGAAAAAGTTCTCTTGTAGATCAGAGAATTGACTATAGGATAGGAACATAAAAGGGTGTGCATGACATGAAGAGGCAGTCTTTGAAGGTAGAACTTCTGTAGAATAAAAAGGCAAAAAGGGAGTGGTCTCCCTTGGTGATTGGGTGGTGGAGGGGATGGGAAGTAAAAGCAGAAAATATGGGATCTTGTAAAACAAAAGAAAAAAAAAATCAGAGGACTCACACCCACTCTTTCACTACCACTACCACCAAGAAAAAAGGAAATCCAGTAAAGAAATGAGACTTTGGTAAACTGACAAAAGAGGGCTCCACTGAACTAGGAATCTTTTAAAGTAGTCCAAATTACAAAATGAAAAGAAGGAAACTAAACAAGTCTTTATCAAGTTACTACAAAAAAATAGAATTGATTTACTTTAGCTGATGATACCCTCTCCCCCAGAAACAACTAAAGCAGAAGAAAATTGTAAGACAACACTCCAGACTGAATTAAATAACCAAGCGTTTAGAGGTGTAGAAAAACATCTTGAATAAGATAGTCAGATGTTAAAACATATAGACCAAAAGCCAGGAGTAAATGAAAAGAGTAAATTGAATGCCGGGGAGGAATAGAAGAAAAAGTCATTTTAGAGTTGACTAAATTACGAGGTGCCCGAGGAGAACAGACTCAAATGGAAATTTAAGAAGAATCACGGAAGAAAGGCAGAAAAACAACCAAGGGAAAAAAATGAGATAAAGGCAGGAATATAAAGGGTTACAGAGAAAATGGTTGAGACGGAAGATAGGCAAAGAAGAAATAACCATATGTCTAAGTGGAGTCCCTAAAGAAGAAAACAGAACAATGGGATATAGCTAACATTCAAAACTATTATCCAAGAAAACATTCCTGAAATAAAAGAAGACCTAAATCTACATATTGAAAGTGTCTACTGGATAACTGGAAAGATGAACTCCGAATAATTCATCCTGAGATGTATCCTACTAAAACTGACTTCAAACATATAGAAAATGTCTTCAAGTCCTCTAGCAAATCTTCAAATCCTCTAGGCAAAAAGACCAAATAACTTACAGAAGCAAAATAATTTGACCTGTACTAGACTTCTCAAAAACAACGTGAAAACAAGGCAACAACAGAGCATTTAAAAAGACTCAAAAAGTCTTCCTCCTTGTGAGGACACAGCCAGAAGTCTGCGATCTGGAGGAGGGCCCTCACCTGAGCATCCTGGCACCCTGATCTCGGACTTCCAGCCTCCAGAACTGAATGAATTAACAACATGGCACAACAGAACAAGCCCTCAGCTTAGAGAAAAGCGACTTAGGTCCCACCTTTTACTCTATGGAGATTATATGCACTCTAACTATGAAATACTCCCTTGTTAGAAAGCTCAAGACTGAGGAAAAGTGGCCAAACCAAAAGGAAACACCAAAAATTCCTTCTAAAACCTCAGAGAAGCAAGTTAAAAATTACTCTTTGCCCTGAGTATCTGACGTGCAATGGCTTTGGTGACAAAGATGGATGTGGGTAAGCTGAGAAAGAAAAACAGAAAAGCAACTGAAAGTTTCAGGAGGAATAAGAAAGCTTCTCTGTTTCATCCACGTGAGAGTTAATGATATCACAGATGTGAACATTAACCATATGCTGACAGTAGGCTAAGCCCCATAGGGGCTGTCCAGATTGCTAAAAGCAGAGATTTTTTTTTTCTTTCTTGTACAAGGATTTTAAGCTAGTAGAGAGGGAAAAAATGAAATAAATATTCAACCCAAAAGAAGGCAAGAAGGAGGTATTGGTGGAAAAAATAGATGTACAAATAGAAATTCAGAATAAGATAGTGTATTTAAAACTAAATATATGAGTCATTACATTAATTGCAAAATGGGCTACTAGATGCTTGTTTAAAAGATACACTGTCGGGGCCGGCCCGGTGGCACAAGCAGTTGGGTACACGCACTCTGCTTTGGCAGCCTGGGGTTCGCCGGTAAGATCCCGGGTGCGCACTGACGCACCAGTTGTCAGGCCATGCCGTGGCGGCGTCCCATATCAAGTAGAGGAAGATGGGCACAGATGTTAGCTCAGGGCCAATCTTCCTCCGCAAAAAGAGGAGGATCAGCATCAGATGTTAGCTCAGGGCTGATCTTCCTCCCTCTCAAAAAAAATAAATACATAAATAAAAGGTACGTTGTCAGAACAGACTGTAAGCTGTTTAGAAGAGATATCTTAAAGCATAAAAACAGAAAAGTTCAGAATTGATAGAAAAAGATATAAGAAAGGTAATGTATTAAATTAATATTGGAGAAAATTAGACTTTAAAACCAGCAAAAGCATTACATCATTTCATGTTGATAAAAGGTTCACTTTACTGGGAAGATAAAACCAATTTAAATTTTTATGTGGCTAATAACATGGTATTAAACATAGAAAATAAAAATTGCCGGAACTACAAGAAATACATATAAGCTTAGAAATATTGAAATATGTTTTTAAATAACCGATAGGTGAAAGAAGATACAATGGAAGTTTTAAACTATTTTGCAGTAAATAACTAACATACTACTAGTTAAAGCTTTGGGACTGTAGCTAAAGATATGATTTGAGGGAAATTTATAACTAAATACAATTGTTACAAGAAAAAAATGTTGAAAATTATTAATAAGCTCACAATTCATTGCAAGTAGTTAGGAAAAAATTCCTACATGATAAACCCAAAGAAAGTAAAAGGTAACAAATAAAACGAACAAATTTATGAAATAGAAAACAACAAAGATGATCAAATTAATGAAAAAGATAAAAACAGTTGAAAGTTGGTTCTTCAAAAAGATTACTAAAATTGGCTAATCTTTCCTGAGATGATTACACAGTCAATACTAGAAATAAAAAAAGAAACATGACTTCAGATTTTGCAGATATTAAAAAAAAAGTTGAATTATTGTTGACAGTTTTATGCCTAATAACTTCAATATTTATATTTATATGAAATGGACAATACCTAGAAAAAAATCTTACTAAAATTTATCAAATGTTCAACAGTAAATTAGGTAAATGGTTTATCACATAGTCATATATTGGAATACTCTGATGAACTATGGCTGTACTCATTAATATGGGTGAATTGCGGAAACATAGTGTTGAGGAAAAGAAGCAAGTTACCAAAGAATAGAAACAAGTCACTTAAGAATACAAACATGCCTTAAAAAAAAAAAGCAGATGAAGCCGAACAGTATGTGATTTAGGCTTATAGTATAGACCCTATGTGACAAAACTGACAAAAACAAGGGAATAATTTGTTATGTAAGTCAGAATAATGGTTACCCCTGTATGCGAGAAGAAAATGTGATTGTGGGAACATGTAGGATCTTTCTGAAGTACTAGTCATGTTTTAATTCTTAACTGAGGTATTTTTATTAAGTTTTGTTTGTGCTTTTTTTTTTTTATTTTCCCCCCAAAGCCCCAGTAGATAGTTGTATGTCATAGCTGCACATCCCTCTAGTTGCTATATGTGGGATGCGGCCTCAGCATGGCAGGGAGAAGTGGTGTGTCGGTGCGCACCCAGGATCCCAACCCGGGCTGCCAGCAGTGGAGCGCGTGCACTTAACCACTAAGCCACGGGGCTGGCCCTTGTTTATGTGTTTTGTATTCTCTTTTGTGTGTATATTTATTTCATTATAAAAATGGAGGGAAAAGTCCAAATCAAATGTTATTGGATCATGTCTTAATTTTTTAATTGAATCATATTACCTCTCTGTTTCTATAGTCATTTTGGAACTGGTTGAATAAACTACTTAAAAGATTCTTTGAAAAATCAAGTGACCAAAGAAGACCTTCTGTACCTATAATCCAGCCCAGGGATCCATTAGGTTTTAGTTGGTGGATTATTACTCATGTAGCATCGTTTTACCAGTTTGATCGCCATGGAGCACCAGATGAAATGGTAAAATTTTATTTTTTTAAATTTTCTTTTATTATCAATTAATATGTATTTTTTGTAGACAGATTAGAAACTAAGTGAGCAGAAACAACAGCAAAAACCAGATCATAATCTTAAATTCAGCTTCTGAATCTAGAAGCTGTAGGCCTTTCTGTAAATATCTTGAAAAATGATAATTTTTATGTTTTTATTGCTTGTTTAAGGAAAAGCAACTTGTAGAAGACTCGGGAACTAGTCCTGGCTCTCTACTAAGTAGTTGTGTTACCTTCAGTAAATTACGTAAACCTTTGTGGGTCTCTGTTCCTCACCCAGAAATCATGGGATTGGATTGTTCGGAAGATTCCTTCTAGTTCTAAAATGTGTAAGATTGCCAAAGGGAAAGCATATTTCTCCAGAAATGAATTAGTAGTTCTTGTGAATAATTTGATAAAATTATTTCCTCAGAATAACACTTTTTTAGAGAAGCTTTTTGCAAAGATATTTTAATCTATTAAACAACCGTGAAGTTTACTTCAAATAGAACAACAGAGATTTTAACTAATATATTAATTTCTAGTTAGAAACGTTTTTATAGTGTTATTTAAAAAGGCCTATGAATAAAACTAGCTAGTAGATGTATTTATTCGAAGCCCTACTTATATATAATTTCTTCCATGTTCAGAAATGAATGGTATAGTATCAGCCAATTAGTTCCATAAAATAAACATCTAGAATCTTGAGGCCAATTTCAAAATTGGTCTTTTTTTCTGGGAGTAGTTACCAAACCCAGTTCATCATCAGACCTACCTGGGAGTTTTTTAAAATTCAGATTTCTAGGTCTCAGCTCTGGAGATCTTGGTTTATTAATCTGTTTAGAGTTTGGGCATCTTTATTTTTAAGAAGTTCCTTGGTTCTCATCCTCTGTCAGGTATGGGAACTATTGCTTTATGGAACACGTTCCTTGATGGACTTGACAGATTTTCCTCTTTGGAATATTGGACAGAGATGGCTCAGAAATCATCTGTGAAATCTCAGGGTCAGTTAGTACTGACCTAGAGTGATATGGAAAGGGTCTCAAGAGGTCCTCTAAATGATCCCTCTATTAATAAAAAGCCCTTTAGGAGATCTGAAGGTAAATAATAAGTCAGAAAATGCTCTGAGAAGTTCACACACAGCTCAGTATCAATGTATTTAAGTATTCTACCAGTTTATTCAGAGAGGTCAAGAGAATGAGGGTCTCACAGAAAAGGAATGTATGTCCTTTGTTGCTGTCCATGAGTCCTTACCATGCTGATACATAGCAAATACTCAATAAATGTTAGCAGTTGCCATTATTATTACAGTAGCTGTTTTATTGAATATTTTTGTGGAGTTAATATGGTAATATTTCACATTTTTTGATTATTAGAATACTAGAACAACATTAAAAAAAATTTACATATAATTCTAAAGTTTTTACATAAACATTTTTATTTCTCTTCCCTTCCAACCTTAATTCCTCAAAGTACCTATTTCTTATTTTAATCATTATAAATAAATATGGTAATTAGTTAAGCACTTTTGAGTTCTTGTTGAGTGGCTATCATAATAATAGGTCTGATAATAGGATACACATGAAACACACTGTACTGCCTCTTGCTTTAGGGAGCATGCTTTCAGGTTATTAATGCTTGCTGGAACTGCATTAACTCTTATTTGAGTGAGTGGTATATTTCTCTAGTGGTTGATATTGACCCCCAGATACTCCTAGTGTGGTAGGTAATCTAACCACATTAATATATATCATTACTATTACTGTTGTAATGTTGAATTGTCCTGGTACAACCACCCACAGTTGCATTGCTGAAATCACTCTTCTGTTTCATACAGAGAACTCCATAGGATATTATTGCTTTTATTAGCTCCAAGTCAAGGTCGTGAATGAATTGTCTGTCTTTAAAATAGCTTAACCTACGTCTTTTAATATTTGTTATCAGTTCCTATGTGATTTTCTTTTGACAAAATACATTTTAAAAAATCTTGATTCTTTACATTATGTAAAAAATTATAAGAGGAAGGAGAGCCACTATATTTGAAAAAGAACCTTTCATATGATAAAAATAATAAAGATGTATAATATATATGTGTATTCATGTTTGTAAAGTAGACTTTACCTTTAGTCACAAGTCCTCAAAAAGTTCCAGATATTTCTGGACTTCTTAATGGCTTTTAAAGAAAAAGTCAAGCTCTCCAGTTAATAATAGTTTTCATTAGAGGTGATACCTCCAGCATATTGCATTTTCAAACTGTTTAATATCTCAGAGGGACTATTCAGTTTTTATCTCAGTGAAGTGTTATAAAGTAGGTGAGAGGGTAATATATCCATTTTACAGGTAAAGAAACTGAGGTACACAGTGGTTAAATGTCACCCTATTTTTATCTCTTTGGTAAACTTTGATATTAGTGTCCTCCTAAGATTGCCTCTTCTGAACACTTCTTTCATAGGGTAATCATGTGGACCAGTTTGCTAGGGACAGTCCCAGTTTATGCCTATTACTACCTCACCCCATCTGGTTAGTTTTCCCTTTTACTTTTAAAAGTGTCTCAATTTGGTTATAAATCATATAATCATTCTAATCTGTGAACATAAAGGCATATTGACTCATCCTTTCAGAGAGATTATATAGGATGTTAATTTGGTCTGGGATATATTTAGATCAGAATTTTGAAAATTACCTGAATTCTTTTTTTCTCCTTGTGATGTATTAGCATAGCCAGCTACCCTATAGAAAATGGTTATGCATTAAGCATGCTTTATTCCACTAAAGAGTAATCTGGTGTGAGAGGATGATATGAGGTAATAATGGTTAATCATATGTTCTATAGCAGAGAAATACCTCTAGTCTTGTGATAACCGTAGAGATGTCTCAGTTTTTAAATGTGAAATTCTTTGTCCTAAAGGTTAATGTGATATCTTTACATTTTAAATAGGTTTCAGATATGGCTAATTTTTTTTTTTTATTTTAAAAGTTTCTATAAATTGGACTTTTGCTATATGTGGATTTAAATCACAAAACTTACCAATTGCTTAATAGAAGCCTATAAGAGAAATTTGGTATCTCACTTCTCATACTAGAGGCTTTAGATTTTCATATATTTCTGTGTAATGCTTTCTTTCAACCTAGATAAGAGTGTGTTATCCTCTCACAATCCCAGTCATCTATTTTAAAAGCAAATATAGTTTAAAGAGAGAAATTACTTTTGGACATCGCAGGGATCAGTTTAACAGTGCTTTCCCTGCCCAGAACATATTGCAATCAGTCAGGCCAGCTGATGCGTGTCTTCAAAACATCTGAAATGGTGACTAGATAAAAGGTGTGAAATGTAACCTTAAAATGAGAGTTGTACCAGCTTACCTAGTCTGCTAGAAGTGGAGGGTCAGGGATCTATTTTATATTTCTGGTGGAGATACCACCTAGGCTGAAGCTTAAGTGGATTCCTTAGTTTTGATGGTGGGAAAAGAAGTATAAAACAGAGTCCCAAATTGATGACTTCCTACCTGCTTTCTATTAGTAGAATTGTTACGTATAACTTAGTATGTAGAAAAAATGCTGTGGCTGCTCAAAGTTAACTTTTCCTCTAGAAGAAAAATCTGTATTCCTTTGATACATATTCTTTTACTCAGACTTGATCTGGGCATGATATAACTGCCATTCTTTCCTCTGACTTATGGTTTATTTTTGTTTTAGATTATAGCCACAATACTGATCCATAGAGTTGAAAATCTTTGGACAGGAATTACACTACTTCTCTATAACTCATGTGATTCAAATGCCTCGATAGAACACAACAATTGAAATATACTCATTAACACCATCAAATTATAAAGCTAAATACATCAACCCTGTCATGTTCCTGCATATTTGAAACTAGTGGTGACATTTTCTTAGTAAAGAATTGTATAAAAGCAGGTTGCTGGAACCTGAGGGAAGGCTTGTTAGAAAAAGAAACTCAGTTACTGATAACGTGGTGTAATGGAAGGAACACTGGCTTTGAAGCCAGACCAACTTGGATTTGAATCCATGCTCTGGCTTGTATATACATGACTTTTCTGAGATTTCATTGTGTTATCTGAAATGGGAAAGATTTTTTTGAAGAAATAATAATGTAAAGACCCCAAAACAATGTACATATAGTATTGTTAGAACAAAATGGTCTCCTTTTTGAGAGAGTTTTAGGGCCAACTTCAAAGTTTTAGGTCACAATCCTCAAAACTGCCCTCATTTCTGACACCAATTGCAAGCTCAGTGATTCCCAAAACTATGTAATTTACTTGGGCTCACAGAACTCACTGAAAGGTATTATTTTCATGGTTCTGGTTTATTACAGGGAAAGGATATAAGGTAAAATTAGCTAAGAGAAGAGTATGTAGTGCAGAGTCCAGGAGAAATACCAAGCGTGGCGCTTCTACTGTCCTCTTCCCATGGAGTTAAGACATGTTGGTCTCCTGGCATCAATGTGTGACAGTATGCAGGGAGTATTTCCAACCAGGGAAGCTTGCCTGAGCTGCAGTGTTCAGAGTTTTTGTTGGAGCTCCATTACACAGGCATAATGGATTGATTGCCCATGTGGTTGATCTCAGTCTCCAGATCAACTGATACAGGACCCAAAATCCCCAGCCTAAGTCACATCGTTGGTTTTCGAGTGTGGCCAGCCTCTACCCTCAATTACGTTGTTCCACTTCCAGTATGATCCTAGGCCCCCAGGCAAACAAAGATACTCTTATCAGGCCTAAGGTTCCAAGGGCCCAGAGATTACCTCCCAGAAGCTAACGGTAAAGGCCAGACCTTCTCTTTGGGCAAGGCCAAATTTTTTACTACACATTCTCTCCTGATACATGTTTTTCATTCACTTTATTTACATAATGTATTTTAAAAAGTTAATTCTTTAAATTATTTCAAAAAGTTAATTCTCAGTTAAAAATAACTGAGTCTATCAGTTGTCTCTTGCTGTGTAACAAAATTTGTCAGCTTAAAACAACAAACACATTTATTATCTCACACAATTCCTGAGGGTTAGGCATCCAATAGGAACTTAGCTGGGTGATTCTGGCTCAAGATTTCTCATGAGGTTGTAGTCAACCTGTCAGCCAGGGCTTCAATCTCCGAAGACTTGAGTCGGGCTGGATGATTCACTTCCAGTCTCTGTCATGTTGACAGGAGGCTTCAGTTACTCATCGAGTGGACCTCTTCTTAAGATGGAAGCTCCAGCGTCTTCTAACCTAATCTTGGAATGGCATACTACCATTCCTATTAGTACTGGTATTCTGTTGGTGAAAGACCAACCCAGGTACAGTGTGGGAGGGGGTTAAATAAGTGAATACTGGGAGGCCAGGGTCGTTGGAGGCCATCTTAAAGGCTGGCTACCACAGTCACTAAGCACCTTTCTTAAGGAAATATTTATTTATGATTTTATGTAGTTAGCATCTTACATGAACATTATCCAACCATTTAAAATCAAGAATATTGAACATGCTTTTAAATTTATTGGTCGTTTGGGTTCATCCCTATGAAGATTATAATAGGGATTGTAGGGTGTGATGTGGCTCTTTGCTTTCATTCTTTAAGGCCTCTGGTTTTGCTTTTTGAGATCTTAAAGGTTACCTTTTTTTTTTTTTTTTTGAGGAAGATTAGCACTGAGCTAACATCTGTTGCCAATCCTACTCTTTTTTGCTGAGGAAGATTGGCCCTGGGCTAACATCCGTGCACATCTTCCTCTACTTTATATGGGACACCACCACAGCAGGCTTGAGAAGTGGTGCATCCATGCGTGCCCAGGATCTGAACCTGCGAACCCTGGGCCGCCAAAACAGTGGAGCTTGCAAACTTATCTGCTGCACTCCTAGGCAGGCCCCCTTAAGGGTTACTTTTTGTGCCTTTTTTACCCCTGTCAGAAACTAGTTGTTACTTGCTTCCTCTTGGAAGCACTTTCTTTGCTTCTGGTTTTGACCAATATCCACACATCCAGACCTTTAAGAGCTGAGTATCAAGTGAACCAAGTATCTGTGAGAAGGTCCTCTAGGCTTTCCTGTTGGAAAAGTTGAATTGTTTACAGTGCGTAGCCTTTGTGAAATATTTTGGCTTTGTGAAAGTTCTTTTTGGCTTTCTTCCTGTCTTCCAGATAGTTGAGGTTGCCAGATAAGTGACCACTGGCTAAATGAAGTAGCACTGTGTAAAGTTTTTCTTTATTTTCTACATAATGATTTTAGTTACTTGTTTACTAGAGTAGACTGTCTTGAGGTTATTATGCATAAAATTAAGGAAAAAAATCTCTGATGAGTAAAGTACGAAATAAAGAACATTCAGGGTATAAAAACTCTAAAAAATACATAAAGGTTTTTTTCTTTTCTGTTAGATTATATCTGACAGCAAAAATTAAATATTTGTTAAAAAACATAATTTTATAGACATACCACTGTTTAATAAAACAACTGCTGATTAGGTTTATATTGGATTGGAATAGTTGTAAATTTTTTTCTATCAAGTCTGTCAATTAACTCTTTGCCAAAGTAATTTTAGACATTGAAGAAATTGTAATGATGTCTAATGATAGAGAAAATGTTTGTACTTCACATTTAACTTGCTATACCATAATTTTAATGGATAATAAAGAGCAATAATTTTGATGTAATAATATTTTCTCCTTTTCTAGAGACAAATGGAATCAAATTGGAACTTTGTAGAGGAACTGCTGAAAAAGTCCATCAATGTTCAGGTATGCATTTAGAGTGAGGCAATTTGTGGGCTTTGCTGAGTTTTTATGTTAACAGATTTTATTTTTAAGAACCACGCAAACTGTTAAAATTATTTAAATAACAAACAGTTTACTTTTTAAAAACATGAGATAGAATCATTATTCTTTGTTAATGAAGAGTCAATGTACAGTAGTTCCACGTAGTGACTATCCTTTGAAGATTTTTATTTTTAACACTGAGTTGCCAGTTAAAGGACAAAGATAATTATCCTAGTTGGTGACTTTGACAAAATGTATTCAAAATAAGTAGTAGATGCTTCAGAACTATAAGCCATTCCTTGCCTGTATGATATCAAGTCTAGGAGACATGATGAGGGAGATAGTGGCGTTGGAAATTCAGCTATATCCTCATCACAGCAGGAAGGTGACTTGCCTTGCTGAGCAATTTGTCTTACAGGCTTGAATCATACTCTAACTGATAAGGTCCTAGTTTCTGAGCCCTTATTTCATACCTTATCATTTTTCTTTCTGCAGAGCTGTTAATGTAGTGCTTCATGGCCCAGAGGTCAGATTTGACCTCCTTTTAAAATAGTTTTAAATGTGCTGTTCATCACATCTTTAAGCATATTGTATTGTAGTTCAGTAAAGTTTTGTAATATAAGTTATTTATGTAAGAGTATAAGGGAAAATTTTAGTAAAGAATATTTTTTAATTTGGGAAATAGATTACTTTTCTATTAAGAAATAAAGATTGTTACCAACTTGAACAGGAATGAAAAAGAAATATGGTAGTACAAGATTGTTTTATATGTGTGTGTGTATACACACACAAACACCCACACATATGCACATACGTTTATTTTATAGCCATGTCTTTGAAAATCATTTTAATCACTTGAAATTTTCTTTTTCCTGTTATCTACATTAACTCTGAATTTTCTTAGGTGAAACATTTAAGTACATTTAGTTATAATATGAATCTTCTAATTATGATCTAAGAATTCCAGGTTAGAAGGCCAAAGAGCTCTGCATATATAAATTGTATCAGAAACAAAAGAGCTATTATTCCAACAATTGTAAAAGTTTTTGTTTAATATTATTTTTTCTATATCATTTTAATTGGTATTCTCTTTTGTTCTTTTTGAGAACATATTGATTTAGTAACTCAAAAAGTTTCTTACATGTATTTTTTACTTCAAGAATGTAGGGAGTCACTGAAAGCGTTATATACATCAGCTTTTAATCCAATCTTAATGCCTTAATATAGCTTAAAAACCTCTTAGTTAAACTTCCTTTCAGCTCTAATAGTATATGAATTTATGGTTTTGTTCAGCTAGATGTTAAACTACTGAGTATTCCTTAGGAGGCTCTAAAGTTTCATATGCAGTAATACCCATCATGGTCGGGGACAAACAGGAGAGAGACTTTATCATCTCTTCCATAGAAAGTTTGCTTTTTTGACTAAGATATTGAAAACCCTCTTTAAATACTTTTAGTTGCTTGAAAATTAATATTTTTTTCCCTTTGGATTATGACTCCCTGTAATTTTTATTTTAAATGAAGGAAACACATTTTCTTGGAAAAAAACTTTTCTTAGTTGGAATGTCTTATGCGATAAAACTTATTCTGAGACTGCATAGTATACTTTTACAATATAACTAGTATTTAATGGGGATAGCTAAAGCTATTTTGAAGAAAAATAGATAATTCTTAGAAGTAGGTAAGGTGACCATCTGGATTTGCCTGGGTTGGGGCTTTCCTGGGATGTGGGACTTGCAGTGCTAAAACCAGGAGAGTCCAGCGCAAACTGGGACTGGTCAGTCACCCTAAGGAGGGATAGTACAGCAAGAAAAGAAGCTGCCTCTGTGAATTTAGGTCTAGCATAATGTCAAGTAATATCTTTCCTGTGAGAGGAGAGGTCATTATAATATATAGAAAGAAGTAGTCCGTTCTGTGTGGTAATCTTTCAATTTTGTCATGCCTTGATTATATCACAAATTAGATTTTATAAGTAGTATAGGACTACTTGCTGGAGTTCTTGAAACCAATTTCTTGGGTGCAGTAGGTGGTCATAAAGAAGAAATAATTTGTTTGGATAGAGCTATTAGTTTGATTATATCTGTTTTCCCCGTTGAGGTAAATTAAAATCTGACCATGCTCATGTGCTTTGACTTGATCTCCAACAGTGAAAGATCCATTTGCAATATTTAAAAAAAACATATGTTCCATGTATAGAGCAGTCTTCAAATAAAATTGGCAGGCACTCCACTGTAGTTTTTTTTTTTTTTTAATTTTATTTATTTATTTTTCCCCCAAAGCCCCAGTGGATAGTTGTATGTCATAGCTGCACATCCTTCTAGTTGCTGTATGTGGGACACGGCCTCAGCATGGCCAGACAAGTGGTGCGTTGGTGCACGCCCGGGTCCGAACCCGGGCCGCCAGTAGTGGAGCGCGTGCACTTAACCGCTAAGCCACGGGGCCGGCCCAACCACTGTAGTTTTAATTAAACAAATAATGTTCCAAATCTTTTTCTAGCCAGATAGGATCTTCCAGAAACAGACATTGAGCGTTGTTAGTAAAGAGAGCATATATTGTTTAATTTTACTTATCTAGGTACAATTGAATAGTGAAGTATTTGCTTTAAAATCAGTTTTTTTGAGATAATTCTATTTAATATTTGTAAATGCTGACAGTAAACGTTTGTTCTACCTTTAAAACATTATTGGTTTAATATGAAAAGGGAGATTTTTAATTTATGCTACCTACTTTTTAAAGCTTCTTTATCTTCTGAGATCACAGAAACAATTTTCTAATAAAGGTTATGGAAAGGTATAAAAAGATATTCTACACAAGTGTAATATTTTTTAAATATTTTCATTTGTCAAAAATTTGGAGAGTCACGGCTAAAAGCAACTCAGAATGTGATTCAATCTAAATAACGTGGGACAATAATTTTCTAATTACTAATTCAAAATCATTATGTTTCTTGGGCAGAAGGATCTTGACTTGGATATTGAAGTCTAACTCTCTTTATCCAATCCTAAAAATAAATCTGTTCAAGCAGACTAACAGTTACTATTTAGCTTGTAAATAAATTTTATTCTTCTCATGCTTTCTGATAGGTAGGTTAGTTATGCATAAAGAAATTAATACTCAATTGTTAAATTACCATTTTTATAAAATAACTAAGCTTAAAAGAGTAAATGTTTTCATTTTTAGTCCAATAAAAGTATTTGACTTATGGAATATACCCAAATTTGATATCCCTAAATTTGATCTTTCAAAAAAAGATAGGGGGCCAACCCAGTGGCTCAAGCGGTTAAGTGTGCGCGCTCTGCTATGGCGGCCCAGGGTTGGCTGGTTCGGATCCCAGGCGCGCACCGACACACTGCTTGGCGAGCCATGCTGTGGTGACGTCCCATATAGAGTGGAGGAAGAGGGACATAGATGTTAGCCCAGGGCCAGTCTTCCTCGGCAAAAAAAAAAGAGGAGGATTGGCAGATGTTAGCACAGGGCTGATGTCCTCACAAAAAAAGATAGGAAGACATTCTTTTAGAAAGAACTAAAGCAGAGATTGGGAGCGGTTATTATGGAATATTCTAGGGTGGCTTTCTTCATTAAATAGTTTATGCACACTCACACGGCTGAGATGAGACACCCAGAGAGCCCATACGGTCTTAAGAAAAATGCAGAAGTTGCGTAGCACCTTCTCTGGGATTAAGCCAGGCAGGTTTAAGGTTGTGTTGAAAAGAGGCCCACAGCCCTTCTAGGTTATTGAAAAATCTTTAATCCGAGGGCATAGTTTTAGATGTCATTAATCAAACCTCTTGATTTAGGTAGAGTTTGGCCTTAACTCTCACAAAATTGAAATATATCAGCTCAAAGTATGATGCTATGAACTTGCTGCATTTATTTTTTGATTATCAAAAGAGTCAACATTTAGCCTAAAAAAGCACATTTCTCTCTTGCAAATAACAAAATCAAAGCTATCCCTGTGCAAGCACTGTACTCAGCACTTAGTGTACATTCTTTCAGTTAATGCTTATGACAGTCTTGTGAAGTTCCATTTTACACATTAAGAAACTGAGGCTCAGAGGGATTAAGGAGCCTTGTCCAGGTTCACACAGTTAGCTAGAAAGTAGCAGAGCTGGGATTTGAATCTTCATATATCTTTTACTCATTATGCGCTTCCTCAAAACAGTTGACTTTGTAGGATCTTAATAAAACTTTTATTTTTTTTTTTCATTATTTCTATTTTAAAACTTCTTTGCTGTGGTATGTTTGATTAGTAATCTGTTTTGGTTTCTAGATCTGTTTTGTTGATTCTTGTGGAAAGCATCTCAATTTTCCCTACTTTTTTTTGTTTGTTTTCCTCTCCAATAAGTATATGATGGGAAAATGTAAGCTAGGAAGAAATTAATGTACTCAAGTATTCCCAGATATTCCTCCTCACCATATTTCAGCTCTATTTTTTCATTATGAATTTAAGCTAAGAAGTCTTTTGCCTCCTCTACTGCTGACTATTGTATTCTTATCTCTTTGGCTATCTGGACTTAAAGATGAGCAAATTCAACTGATGTGCACACACACATTTTTTAAAGGGAATTGTTAAGAAAAAACTAAGGGAAAATGGTTCAAAACAAAGCAATAGTTGAATATATAGAACATGAAAATATATTTTATAACAAATACTATCTGTAATCTATTATAGGCTAAAAATACTTAAAGTCACACCCAAGTGACTGATTACCTATTCTGCCAGAACTGTGGAGAAAATGGTATTTTCTAAGCCGTTTCTTTTCGTTTTAATCTGCAGCCCCTAGCAGGAAAATGAAAGGAAATTTATCTCCTTTCCTTTAAAAAAAAAAAAGAAAAAAAAAAATCCCCCAGGGTGCCATGTTTAATTTCTTCTTGATTGTGTACAGTGGAAAGAGCATGGGCTCTGGCCTCACAAACTTGAATTCATATCTTGGTCTGGTCACTAAGAGCAGTCTTGATCAAATCTGGTGTCACATAAATGGTCGTTTCTTTTTCCTCCTGGTTTTGGAAGGTGGCATAGAATAGTATGTATAACAGACTTTGGAGTCATAAATCCTGGCTCCTTCCCAAGTAGACTTGCGTAAGCTATTTGTAACATCTAAACCCCAACCTTTTCTGTAAAATGAAGGTAGTAAAACTGGGATGCTGTGATACATACATGGGCTAACATATGTAAAACATCACATAAAGCCTGACACATAGTCGGTATTTAACCTTTTGTTTTTCCCAAACTTCATATATTGTTGTAGTTTAAATATCTTTTTATGGATTTTACATATAAAATGAGTTTCAGATAGATACCAAACAAAACAAAACAAAACTCTTCAAAATGAACCCACTTTTTGCATATACCCCCTTTTTAACCTTGCAACATAATAAAATCAGTATGCTTTAATTCATATCAGTAGTATGCCATAGGAATGAGTCTGGGCCTAGTTTGATATTTTCATAATAAAATCAAAGAATGTTAGTGATGGACAGAACCTTTTCTTCTTTGGTTAAATGAGTTTTATTGTCTGTTAGAGAAGCTAAATATTTTTCTCTAAGCCATACAACTACTTGGTGAAAAGAAGCACCAGAACTCAGATCTCAGGTTTGTTCATGAAATGTTTATGTAGGCTCTTTGGTGCAGCAGGCACTGTACTAGGCCGTGGGGACATTATCCCAGCCCTCAGAGAGCTCATAGACACTTGAAGGCAGATAAACAAGGCATATGTTTAACAAGGTAAGTGCTATGATACAGGTGTATATGGTGTGCTGTGGAGCCTAAATAAAGGTTACTGTTTGGCGTGGAAGTTAGAAAGTTTTCTGGAGGGCTTGAAGCTTGATTGTATTCTAAAGGGTGAATAATTAAAAGAGTTAAGGCCTTGTCACAAAAATCTGCTTGTGTTTTGTTCACTCTCATTCATTGAAAGATTGAGCACCAAGATCACTGTTTTCTTCTACACCTGTATACTATTTCTGTTAGTGACCCCAACATTATTTTGTATAATCTACCTGTCTTCTAAGTTTCTTAATATCCTCACTTCCAATTAGATTTTCTTTTACTCACCTCACCTGCCTTGTTCCATGGTCATGCTCTACCTTTTTTCATTTTTCTTTTCATTTTCATTCAGCCCATCACCTTTTCCTTTTTGTCTTCTTCCATGTCCACACTTTCCTCCTTAAACAATTTAGATTAGAACCCCTTATTATAGTCACTCCATCACAAACACCTTTAATTCCTTAGCCCTTACCTGTTTTAAACTTGGCAAAATCTAGTCCTCTCCTACCCCCTGACACCACCCCCATCCCCCCAAGCCCCAGCTGAATATTGCTGGAGAAAATCATAATCATTCTTACTAACTGATCTAACTTTAAATTCTTGATCAAAATCTCAAACGGCAGTCAGCACTGGAATATTTGCTTTTCTACTCTCCAAAATGACTTATTTCATAATTTCTTTTTAACATACAATTCAACACATGCTCTGCCCCAATCAACTTAGCTAAGCATCTTGCCTTGTAAATCACAGAGAAAATGGAACGAGTCAGTTGAGACTTTGCATCTTTGGCATCTTTGCACCTTCAGATCTCCCAACATGTCTGCTTTGTACTCAACCTCTCAATCTGCTTTTCTATTATATTGGAGGTGGCCCTGTTTCTATCAAAGGCTAATTCCTTTCCACGTGCACTGGATCTTGTCTCTTCTCACCTGTTTAAGGACTTTATATATCTTCACTTAAATATCTCTGCTTCCTCACCTCCTGTTATCTCTTCAGCCTGCCAGCTAAGCTTCTGTCTCTAGCTCCCTGAAACTACTCTTGTTGAGGCCATCAATTACTTCCATATATTGTCAAATCTAAGAGTTCGTCTTTCTTCTCATTTTAACCTTTCAGTAACATTCAACTCTTTTGACCCCATTCCTTTCTGAACATTTCTCTTGGCTTCTATGATGCCTGGTTTCCTTCCTACTTCATTGGCTGCTGGTTTTTGCTTATAGACTCTTCTCCTTTTGCTTGATATCTAAATGTTGGAATAGCAAAGGGCTCTCAGTTCTGGATCCTTTTCACTTTTCCATCTTTAGTCTTTCCTTGGTTGATCTTATCTAACCTCTTAGCTCTAAAAACCATCACTATGAAGGTAACATTCAAATTTATATCAACAGCTTTGACTTTTCCCTTGAGCTCTAGATGCATATGTCAAATTATTTTCTTAATATCGCCACTTGGTTGCACTGTGTACTCTTTCATCTGTTCCTCCCCTAGTCTTTGCTAAAATCTGGGAGTTCTCCTTAATTGCTGTCTTTCGTTCATACCTTAATATAACTCATCAACAAGTCCCATTGCCTCTCTTGCCAAACAGATCTCTAAAGTTGTCTGCTTATCTCAGTCTTATGGTTTCACAGAATTGCCTCCTAACCTTTTGAGGTGACAGAAGAAAGGAGTAGAAAGAAAAAAGGAGACACTTTAATCTTCTGTAATGAAATAACCATGCATATTTGTTAAAAAGTGACACACCACTGAATCCCAGTCATTCAACAATTATTTATTTAGAGCTTACTATATGCCACGCACCTTCATATCTCCCAACATGTCTGCTTTATACTTGACCTCTCAGTCTGCTTTTCTGTTATATTGGAAGTGTCACTGTTTACCTTCTAACTGGTCTTCCTGCTTCTATTCCTGTCCACTATATTCATTCACCATGTGTGATCCAGAGTGGTATTTTTGAAACAATCACATCACGTCACTCCTGTGCTTACAATCTTCTAGTGGCTTCCCAAGATATTTAAAATAAAATCTATACTTCTTACCAAGACCTGTAAAGCCTTAAATGACATATGGTCCCTGACTGTCTCTGACTTAACCCTACAATACCAAGCTTACTAATTCAGGAACTTTCCATGTGTTTTCCCTTCCATGAATGCTTTTTTTCAGGTCTTTTTTTTTTTTAATTTTTTGTTTATTGCAGTAACATTGGTTTATAACATTGTATAAATTTCAGGTGTACATCATTATACTTCTATTTCTGCATAGATTACATCATGTTCACCACCCAAATACTAATTACAACCCATCACCACACACACGTGCCGAATTATCCCTTTCGCCCTCCTCCCTCCCCCCTTCCCCCTGGTAACCACCAATCCAATCTCTGTCTCTATGTGTTTGTTTATTGTTGTTGTTATCTACTACTTAATGAAGGAAATCATACGGTATTTGACCTTCTCCCTCTGACTTATTTCACTTTGCATAATATGCTCAATGTCCATCCATGTTGTGACAAATGGCTGGATTTCATCGTTTCTTATGGCTGAGTAGTATTCCACTGTATATATATACCATATCTTCTTTATCCATGCGTGCTTTGATGGGCACTTAGCTTGCTTCCAAGTCTTGGCTATTGTGAATAACGCTGCAATGAACACAGGGGTGCATGTATCTTTATGCATAATGGTTGGCTCTTTTTCATTCAATCAGTTAGCCAAATGTCACCCTCGGAAAGGCCTTTCCATTCATAACTCCCTGATGTAATAATGATCCACATCCTCTACCAATTACTCTGCCACATTACCCTGCTTTGTTTTGGTTTTCACAGCAATTATAACTGTTTCCGTTTATCCTGTTTGTTTTGGTGCCCTCTTTTCCTATTCTCCCCAAAAGTGTAAGTTCTATTAGTGCATGTACCATGTTTGATTTGTTTGTTGCTCTATGCCTAGTACTTTAGAATAGTGCCTGGTATGAAGAAAGCTTTAAATAAATAATTGTTGAATGATTGGAATTCAGTGGCATGTCATGTCACTTTTCAGCAAGCACGCATGGTTATTTCATCACAGAAGATTAGATTAAATTAAAGTGTCTAATTTTTTTCTACTTCTTTCCCCTGCTGCCATTTCCAAAAAGGTTAAAATATATGTAGTCTGCCAATCCTCTGGTTTTATAAAAGAAAAACTCTTATAATCCTATGAAGAATTTGACCTAGGACTTAAGTGTGACCAAGTCCTCTGGATTTGTGTACATCTTAATTATTAGATCATTTTTACTACTTCTTTCTAGTTTGGGTTTTTTTTTCCAGTTTCTGGGTTTTCTACACCGTTCAATTATGAAACATCTATTGTAATTTTTGAATAATTGAGTTAAAAGTCCAATTGAGCTATGTAATTTTCATTATCTGACTACATTAATGATCTCTAAAGCAAAGTTTTAGAAGTATATCTTATGCTGACTCAGACCTTCTGGTCTGAAGTTGAGAATGGGTATGATTTGGTGATATATATTCATATTCTTTTTAGAAGGTTATTCGATACACTATCAACTGGTAATATTCTTGTCACCAGAGCCCATTTACTTCCTCACAATTTCACTTTATTTTTTAGGATGGTATACTGGAAGAGCAATTACGAATGTATCTTCACTGTTGTTTGACACTTTGTGATTTCTGGGAGCCAAACATTACAATTGTCACCACTCTCTGGGAATATTATAGTAAGAACCTGGTGAGTAAATGGCGTATGAATTTGTTCTAGGAATTTGAAGAATTTGTACATGATATTTGAGGAATATTTTCCTTGCTTAATTATGAATAATTATGGATTTTTCTAAAATAGTTAATTTTTTGCAAAGTACATTAGAGTAGCTCAAGACTAGTTTGATCTTTCACAAGCATTATCCATAGAGCGTTGACATAAGGGAATGGAACATTTGGTGTCCCTTTTCTCTTAAGAGTCAGAGTAAGCAGAGTAGCCAAAATTGTACCAGAAAGATATTTTTAAAATTCCTCATTTATAAATGTTTTCTAACAATTATTAATTGCTTGCAACACATTGAACAGTTAATGCTATCCTGAATAAGATACAGTCTTGGCATTTGCGTAGCTTATAGGCTAGTGCGCAGATACACTTATACTGTGGGAGAAAAGTTATAATACTGTGGAATGCCAGAGGAGAGAGTATAATCCAGGGTATGGACTTGTGGAAGACTTCATGAGGTCATAATTTTTTAACTTGGCCAGGGGAATGAGTGGAATTTTCCAAGTACAGAAGCAGAGCATCCAGACAAAAGGAACAGTGTGGACAAATGTATGGAGACATGAAAAGACATGATCTATTCCTATCATGTTAAATAGTTCTGAATGATAGGTCTGAGATGACTATAAAGACAGGAGAAAAGGCAAATAGAGAAGGTATTCTAGGGCCAGATTATGAAGAGTTGAAGATAATGGGCAGGTGAGTTATGATTTATTCAGGAGACATTGGAAAGCAAGGATGTAACATATTAGGTATGTATTTGAGAAAGTTTTTTCTGAAATTGATTTAAATGAATTGGGTACAGATAAGTTAATAGTCCAATGTAATAGAATAAACAAATAATGTGGTGAGTGAGAATTAAAATAGGGACAATGGATTTAGAAAGCAGAGGATAAATTTGGAAGATAAAATTTGTAAAGGTGGATTTAAAGAATTTAGTTACCTGTTGTGTGCAGAGAGAAGAGAAGATTTGGAATGTTTGGGTTCTGGGTAAATAGTGAACCCCTCAATCAAGATAGAAAAATGAAATGGAAGATTTACGAATAAATTACAAATTTGGGTTTGTATGTAATAGAGCTTATTAAAAATGAGAAAAATACCTTTCTCTGAAGCATAATGTTAGGCTAGTTGGAGAAATGACTGATTCTAGTTCTGAGGCAGAATGTGTATAAGATGAGTCTAGAGTATCTTGTCGTATCTGAAAGCAGAGAAGGTATCCAAGTAAGCTGGAGTCATGTCAAAAGGGCATAGGAGCCAACTTGAAGAAGTTCCCGTTGACCAACGCTGGATAAATTTGAGCATAAGAAAGAATAATGACTGCTGTGGATTAAACAACATATCAGATATGTTTAAATCCTTGAGTTTATGATGCTTTTAGAAAAGTTATTCTGAAAAAAACTGCATTATTCTGAAAACTGTAAATAAAGGAAAATATATACTATATTTTAGAGTAACCAAATTTCTGATGAATAATTCAGAAGAAATGATAGAATTAGAAAAATCACTGTTTTGTACATCTGATGAAATAAGGCATCTGGGCAGTGATCATCAATGGCTGCTAAAACCGTTAAGGTAAAGGCTGGTGGGGATCGTTAAAATGGATAGATCAAGTTGACAACATCATCAATCTTAAAATCACAAAAAGAATGACAGTTGGAACTTACGTGCCTCTTTACTAATTGCAATAGGAAGTACCCAGGATGGCCAATGAAAGAGTCTTACTGAAAAATTTGGTCTGAATCTGATTAGTCCTCTAGATACAGCCACCAATTTACAAAAAAGATAGGTGATAAAAAATACACTAAGTGAACCTAGGGAGATACAAGCGGCTAAATCCAGAATGTAGGAAATTCTACAATAAATGACCTGATATAAAAATAAATGATATGACAAAAATCTTGGGAAACTTATAGAATAAAAGCGCTTTAAGTGGCAAATCAACCAAATGCAGTGTGTGGACCTTGTTTGTATCCTAATTTGGACAAACCAATTGTTAAAAGACATTCTGTGAATAATCCAGGAATTTGAACACCCCTTGAAGTTTTGTGCTTTTATGGAATTTTTATTTTGGGGGGATACGTGGTAATGGCTGTGTAATTTCTGTGATTAAGATGAGTCAAACTTTTAAAGAGCTCATTGGGATTTGCGGCTTTCCATTTTTATTTACTTAGAGACCTAATACTTGTTTTCTGTCTTTTTTGCTTTTAGAATAGTTCTTTCAGTATTTCTTGGCTTCCTTTGAAAGGCCTTGTAAATATCATTAAGTCACCCTTGTCTATGCTAGAAATGGTGAAGACCTGCTGTTGTGATAAACAAGATCATGACCTGTATAAATCCAACAGTAGTTACACCATTTTCCTTTGCATTTTGGCAAAAGTTCTTAAGAAGGCAATGAAGAACAATGGCCCTCATCCTTGGAAACAAGTCAAAGGAAGGTGTGTGCTGTATCTTTCTTTGTCATGAATGTTCACTGGTATCTTTGGAGTAGTATTTTTTAACTTAACTTGTGCTTGGAGGTCCTTATGGTTTACACATTTAAAATGTATTCCTTAATGTAACAGCAAAATATGGAGCTTTTGGATCCTGCCAATTTGTTATAAGAAGGAACAAACCTAATATCCATAACTTGTGGAGGATTTTAGTTTCTTATTTATCTCATCAGTGCTGAAGATTGAAATTTCATATATTAAGTGCCAGGGATATTAGAGAACTGTTGTTTTTCTTGCCAAAATTAATTGTAATGTTATTATGTAATTATTTGCATACATTTTATTAAAAATTATAGAAATAAAAAACATCTCCAACTCCTACATTGGCAGGTACTAGATTCAACCTATAAAACTTTGTGTTCGTTGAGCCCCACAGTCCCACAAGCCCTGCTTGCTTGAATGACAACTAACCAGGGTACAGTACGATATTCTCATTTGGGGAGTATGCTCAGTTTTCATTTCTGGTGTGCTACAATGAACTTTTGGTCACATCCGTCTGTTTTCTTTTTTTGAGAGTTTTGCTTGTTTAGCGGGTATAAGTTTTAATTGTCTTCCCTTGTTCTACGTCCTTTGCCGATTAGCGTTTCTCTTAGCCCTCTCTGTGCAGGACACTGCCATCTACCACTTGCTCAGCTTATGTGGTCACAGCAGAATACTTCTTATTCTAAGTTGGGACTTCTCAAGAATCACCAAGTGAAATTCCTATTTGATTCCCGCAGTGAATAATTCTTGCAAGATTATGGTGATAGCTTGGATTTTTTTATTCAGAATATTCTTTTTTAATGGTGGCTTTTTTGTTAAACCTCCAATAATAATGTGGCTCAAACAGTAATTTTTTCTTTTGTTCTGTTTACCAGTTTGTTTTTGGATCTTAAATCATTTTATGGGGGCAGGCCCTGTGGCTTAGCGGCTAAGTGTGCGCACTCCACTACTGGCGGCCCAGGTTCAGATCCTGGGCCCGCACCGACGCACCGCTTGTCTGGCCATGCTGAGGCGGCGTCCCGCATACAGCAACTAGAAGGATGTGCAACTATGACATACAACTATCTACTGGGGCTTTGGGGAGAAAAAGTGATAAAAAGAGGAGGATTGGCAATAGATGTTAGCTCAGAGCCGGTCTTCCTCAGTGAAAAGAGGAGGATTGGCATGGATATTAGCTCAGGGCTGATCTTCCTCACACACACACAAAAAAAATCGTTTTATGCAAGACATAATACTCAGAACTTGATTGCTAAAAGAAATCACTGGAATTCGTTCAATAACGAGTCTATTTATTAGGAAATACTATCTACCAAGCACTATAGTGGAAGTGATGGGGGATATAAAGATAATTAAGCAGATCTTTACTTTCAGGAGCTTATCAGCTCTATTAGTTCTTTATAAATAAACATTTAACCTCTCATGAACATTAATCGTTTCTATCTTGAATAAAACAATTATAGAGTTACAAAATTTAACTATCTGTAAGTAGGACTCAAAATGAATGGTTTTCAATTCTAATCTCTTAAATAATACATCAGCTATTAAATTAAGTAGTATTGATGAGAGATTTGTTTAAATGGCTAGTCTTCAACATTTGAACACTAACAATTTTTCTTTGTCAGTAGGTAAAAATAATTTTTCTAGCACCTCGAATTGTCTTAGGGTGTAAGTATAGCAAGAGCAAGTCTTTTTGAGCAGCAGAAGGAGAAAGAGTTTAAGGAAAATTATTACATAAAATTGCCCTGTTGAGATTTCTGTAGAGCACAACAAACTGTACTTAAAAGATTATATATTCTTTCTTATTTGTCAATAAAAATTAAAAAAGAAAGGTGATGGAAGGACTAAAATAATAGGAAAAGCCATGTACTGTATGAAAAGAGCATTTCTAATGTCCTTTGGGAAAGCCACTAAATTCTTTAATTCACTTATAGATGATTTGCTGCATCGTTGAGAATTGTGAAGGTAGGGGTATTCTGTGAGCTTGTTTTCTAAGTAGGAAAAGTGACAAAGCAGCACCATAATGAAGTAGCAGCTAAAAATTTAAAGTAATGAGACTGGCATGAGTATTGAGTGAAATGTTATTTTAAAAGATGGATTTTTGTGACTGAAACAATTTTATTCAAGCAATTTTTTATGTTTTACAGAATATATTCTAAATTCCATCACAAAAGAATGGAAGAACTAACTGAAGTTGGTCTGCAGAATTTTTTCAATCTTTTTTTACTGTTAGCAGCTGTTGCAGAGTTAGAAGACGTAGCAAGTCATGTTCTAGGCCTTCTGAAGTTCCTCAAGCCTGCCTTTCTAACGTCTTCTCTCATTTGGAAGGGTCAGATGGCCTTCCTCTTGATGTATACCCAGAAAAATCTGGACATTAGTGTTTTGGCTGAGAAATTCTCAGGTGCCTTCCGGGAGAAAGCAAAGGAGTTCTTGGTATCTAAGAATGATGACATGGGACAAAGACAGACTCTCTGGACATTTCTGTCTATCTATATGGATGGTGTTCAAGAAGTGTTTGAGACTAGCTGTTGCTTGCATCCTTCCCATGAAAAACTGCTTAATGATGGATTTAGTATGCTTCTGCGAGCTTGTCAAGAATCTGAACTTAGGACAGTATTGAATTTTCTACAAGCTGTTCTGGCCAGAATCAGGTATGTTTTTCAGTACTATGCTAATATATTGATTTGTTTTATATCATCACCTATGTTGATTCTATATTAAAGTTTTCCTTTTGACATACTCATGAAATCCAAATGTAGAAAGAGGAGTTGGTTTTACTGCTACATTGGCGTAAATCAGGAGTTTTCAAAAGGTAGTTCTTCAAATGAAAGCTTATAGGCAAACACATAAAGCTAAATTCAGAGCAGCTCTGGGGCAGTCCCCGAGCTATGCCTCTTCGCCTCTCCTTCCCTTTCTACTTCCCCTAAAAGAGTATGATTAGCCACAGGATGTTTCAGACATTCTAAGCAAGATGATGAGCTCAAATCTGAGGTGGCTTTTATTGAAACATATGCAATTTTGTGCCCGTAAGTAGGTTTTAGCCACACTGTACCATTAAAAAAAGGTAAGTTTCTTTAAATATTTTGCAACAGAGTTGTAGCCTCAGATGCATGAAATACTTCCAGCTAAAACAGTTTATTCTGAGATTAAGATTGGATTGTTCTATTTATAACACCAATCACCTAAACAAAACTTATATTGTTTTCAGATCCACTTAAAATATGCAAATATGCAGATACACTCAGACCCAAACAATAATGGAGAAGAACAGTGGTTATGACATTTATTGCCTTTAACGATCTTTTCACATAACAGTTTTACCTTTGAAGTGCATGTTAAGAAGTTAGATACTACCACTCTGTGTAGTTAGTCGCTGTCACTGAAAAGTTTTGTAAAAGTTATATATAGAAATACGGTTTTATTTAAAATCATGTCTGAAGGTAATGAAGAGACTGTTTCCCTCTTCCTAATACCACATTACAGAAGTAGCATCTGTTTTTCAAAGGTACTAAGCTTAATAGAGTTTCTAAATTTTGGAAATTGATTCATTACGAATTTTAATTATTGCTAATTTACTTAATTTGCTTTACGTTGGGCTGTGTGTCCATACTGATTAATCCACAGGTTTTCACTCCTTGTTAGGTTTTATGTAGTTTTTATATTCATCAGCTCTTACAGTTCAAGTTCTGAAGGTTTAGCCAGAGTTCTTGATCACATAATCATCCCTTTATCCCCCATTGTAAGCCGTATTAATCAACGGATCTTAAACCCTCAAATTTTTGAATAGATCGATAGATGGATAAGTAAATGAATAACCAACTTCATTAAAAGAAGCTTTTACTAATTCTGGGTCTTAACCACAAACCACATTTGTTTGTTTTTAATAAACGCTACTAGAGTTTATTAGATAGTATACTTTCCCAAGTGCCAAATTCATTTCGTTTGTTCAATTTTTAAATAAGTGGTAAATAGTATTTCCTAGTGCTTCCTAGGCAAAATTAGAAATTTCTATATTTCTGGTACCATTTTGGGTTTGTTTATTTATACAGGCATGCACCACATAACGACGTTTTGGTCAATAATGGACCGCGTGTATGATGGTGGTCTCCTAAGATTAGTATCATATAGCTCAGGTGTGTAGTAGGCTATACCATCTAGGTTTGTGTAAGTACACTCTGATGTTTGCACAATGACGAAATTGCCTAATGACGTGTTTTTCAGAATGTATCCCCGTTGTTAAGCAGTGCATGACTGTATTTGTATTTGTCTGAATATACCAAACAAGAAGGAAGAGGAGGTTGCTGGTCTGAACCATCCTGGTGATAAGGAGCTACAGGCTCCAAAAGATTTAGGGGGCAAAGGAATAGAAAATGAAGGGGGTGTATGAGCATCTTGAGAAGAGGCAGTCATGGAAACCAAGTGGCAGAATCCATATATCTTTCTGCCTTTTCCTTGAAGATGATGGATATGTCCCTTTTAATCATCTTAACAATTGTATTTCTTCTTACATAGGTGTTTTTTTAAACAAAGATTCATATCCTATAAATACTATTAATTTAATTTTTTATTTAGAAGTTTTGGGGAATCTTTTTTTGTTAAATTTTTCTTTAAATTGCAAATTTAATATAGTGTCATAGTAAAAATGGTGAAAGAAAAAAAAACGACAAGTAAAGGTGACAAGTGCAAGTTTCTCTTCCTTTCTTCATTCTTTTATTCTCTAGTTCAGTGGTTCTCAACTAGGAGTGAGTTTGTTCCCCAAGGGACATTTGGCAGTGTCTAGAGAAGGTTTTGTCACAACTGGGTGGGGGATGCTACTGACATCTAGCAGGTAAAGGTCGAGTATACTGCTAAATATCCTAGGCTGCATAGGACAGCCCACACAACAAAGAATTATCTGGTCCAACCTCAGTGGTGCTGAGATTGATAACATGGCTCTAGTTCTACTCAATAGAAGTAAAATGGTTTCTGATAGATCCTTCTAGAATTTGTCCTAGTTATAGGCTTAAAACACAAAATGGATGATCTTTGTTCTGCAACTTCCTTTTTTCACTTAATATTTCCTAGACGGTTTTGCATGTTAGTATATGGAGACCTATCTAATTCATTTTAATGGCTACTTAGTGTTTCATTATATGGGTGTACCAAACTTTATTTAACCAATCCCCAAATAATGGAAATTTATATTGTTTGCCATTTTATGTTATTATATATGTTCTTTTTTTTTTTTAATTTTTATTTATTTATTTTTTTCCCCCAAAGCCCCAGTGGATAGTTGTATGTCATAGCTGCAAATCCTCCTAGTTGCTGTATGTGGGACACGGCCTCAGCATGGTGGGAGAAGCGGTGCATTGGTGCGCGCCCGGGATCCGAACCCGGGCTGCCAGCAGTGGAGCACGCGCACTTAACCGCTAAGCCACGGGCCGGCCCCATTTTATGTTATTATAAACACAGTTCTATTTAACATTTTTATACATGCATTCCCTGTTTACTTGTGGAAGTATATCTGGAGATTAATTCCTGAGATTAAATTGGTATATGTACATTTTAAATGTGGTTGGATATTACCCGATTTCCTACAAAAACAAATTTGTACCAGTTTTCACTCTCCCTGATAGTGTATGAGAAAGCCTCCTTTCTCATTTTTAGATTAGCGTATGGAGTATATTTAGAAAATGTGAATTCTAAGATAAACACAGAAGTTTGTTAAAAATGTTAATAGAAACTTGGTAATAGAAGAAAGAGACTTATTTTGAAGTTTGGAGAGGTTTAAAAATGGAAATACAAAGAAAGTGAAATAGGAAATTATTATTTCTTTATTTCTTACTGTATTAATTTACTAACTTCTTTTTGTGTTTAAGCTCCTAACTGAAACTTTTTTGGTCATTATTCAAAAGTAGTAACTAGAAACACAAGAATAATTCTTTTATTCTTAAAAGATGTACAGTTTACAAATACCATCTCATTTATTTCTTTACCAACCCTGTTATCCCTGTTTATAGATGAAGAAATGCTAACATGGAGACTTTTTGTGACTGACTCAAAATAACACAGTTAAGTTGCAGAATTGGCATTCAGACTCTAACCCACTATACCTCAGCTGCCTTCTTATACCATTTTTATTTACTTTTTTTTGTGTGAGGAAGATCAGCCCTGAGCTAACATCTGCCAATCCTCCTTTTTTTTTTTTTTTTTTTTGCTGAGGAAGACTGGCCCTGGGCTAACATCTGTGCCCATCTTCCTCTACTTTATATGGGACACCGCCACAGCATGGCTTTGACAAGCAGTGCGTCAGTGTGCGCCCAGCATCCGAACCCGGGCCGCCAACAGTGGAGCACACGTACTTAACCGCTACGCCACTGGGCCGGCCCCCTTACACCATCTTTATAATAGTTTACAGATAACTAAGCAGAAACTAACCATACCACTACATTTTTATAAATTTGGAGGTAATTAAATGAATGAAATCTGCAAACTGTTTGCAAACCTGGAAGTATTACCACTAGTCATATGTACTTCTGAGTACTTTTACCTTTTATTTTTGCTACTAAAAAAAGGGCAATTGCTTAATAGGGACCTTTGATTACTTTGTTTCTATAATTCTGCAAGTTACATATTTTTTTAATGAGTCATTCGTTGGAAAAAATGAATCACAAAGAGGGGCCAGCCTGGTGGCATAGTGGTTAAGTTCACATACTCTGCTTCAGCAGCCCAGGATTCGCAGGTTCGGATCCCGGGCACAGACTTGTGCACCGCTTATCAAGCCATGCTGTGGCAGACATCCCACATATAAAGTAGAGGAAGATGGGCACGAATGTTAGCCCAGGGCCAATCTTCCTCAGCAAAAAGAGGAGGATTGGCAACAGATGTTAGCTTGGGGCTAATCTTCCTCACCAAAAAAAAAAAAAAAATCACAAAGAGCTGTGGACAAGTAAATCACATTTTATTTATAATATTTATTTATAATAATAATTTATCTTTGATTTATTAGCACCATTTCAACCATCTAAATTTCACTTCTTGTAATAAAAACAAATTTTTGCTCTTTAAATTCAATTTAGGAGAAGTCTTTTAGCATTAAATCCAAAGTTTTAGGAATGTTGGAAAAATATTGCTTGCAAGTACACTTTAAGCTATAGTGCATCTGTGTTAATCCTGGGGGTCACTATTCGGAAATATAGAGGTAGGAATCAAGAGGGCATAACGAAGATTGTCGATTATATAAGGTGAAAGTATGTTACATTTATGTTAAGAGTTTCTTTCAGCTAGATCTGGTTTGAATTTCTAGTTTGCTATCATTTCTAGCAGGGGGCAAGGAGTGTGGTGTTGATCTTCAGGACTAACCTATGAGAAAAGGACATAAATGTTCATGTTGATAACATTTGATTCCTTGTACAAATGTTTATTTTTGTTTTTGTTTTATACTGTTCAACTGTGATTGAAAACAATTGCTATAAGTGAATATCAAATCATATGTAACTTCTATTGCCAAAATTATGGAGCAGTTTTAACAGATAGGTGTATGAGGTCAATGTGTGAATAAAAATGGTATAGAAATGTGTAGGTCTTTATTAATGCTGTCATAGTTTAGTCACTGCCATCTTTAAAATTTCTGAAGCTTGCATAGTAATTTGAACACAGTTCTTCAGTGAGA